TATATTATGTTTACTTACAATTGTAGTATCTATGTTTTCACATTAAGAACAAAATACTTCGAAGTTCAGTTATCTCTCAATAGATGGAGACTGTACTGAACTATTATTATAAACCTTTACTTAAAATAAAATAGAAGTAAGTACTGTCACTACCTTATATTTGCACAACAAACATGTCCTGATGCTCGTCCAATAACTATCAAATTAAATCCCTTTGTGTTCATTCAAGAATGAAAGATGCATAATTTATGTTTATTTCATAATTTCTATGGTGGTTGCGAGATCCTTCAAATTTATCGAAACCATACGGAAATTAATTACTGAGAATAAGAGATAATATATAAAGTTTTCTATTAGAGAACGTTTGGTAACTATGTGGACATTATAAAAAATTTCGCAAATGAAATTTTCTGATGCACAAAAGAATGTTTAATGTTAAATGAAAATTACTTTGCATGGCAAGATGTGAAAAAAAGGCACGAGAGAAACATTGCTTTATAAACCTTAACACATAATACAAAAATTAGATATTTTGCATATGAAAGCATTGTAATTTACCTAAATAAATTTACACACAATATTCATAATGGAATGTATTTACTCTAAACTTTAAAATGGTTCTCACAGTAGTAGTGGTGATTTGTACCTGATAATTAATGTTATAACGTCTATATCTTTACCCCACCCGAAACACAGAGAACAGTAAAAAAGTAAGATACTTTAGGTGTTTCAATTTACTCATACATCAGTTTTAGTAATTAGTAAGTTACTAATTTAGTAATTAGAGAAAAAAAAAAGAATATGAATGAATTTGGGGAACCACGGCCATACATAAAGAAATTTATAAGAAGTTGAATCTGTCATGGTAAGTAAAATGCGGCATCCTATAACAGTTGAGAATTCTCGATTGTTTGGTTTTTATTTTTTAATTTTCGCACAAACTACACGAAGGCTATCTGTGCTAGCCGTCCCTAATTTAGCAGTGTAAGACTAGAGGGAAGACAGTTAGTAATCACCACCCACCACCAACTCTTGTACCAACAAATAATGGATTGACCATCACGTTATAATGCCCCCATGGCTGAAAGGGTGAGCATGTTTGGTGGACTGGGGATTCGAATCCATGACCCGCAGATTTGGAGTCGAGTTCCCTAACCACCTGGCCATACTGTGCTCCTCGAATGTAAGTTTAGTGACAAAAGCCATCCATATGCCCCAGGCAACAGTGCAAACAAAATCAAGAAGGATCTCTATCTGGAAATGAGGACAAAAGGATATGGGCTCTCAGTCAATACCCCTATTCAACCACGTTTAGTCAATGGATAATGAAATGGGTATTCATGATGTTCATACAAAGACGTACAGGTCAAGTCACCAGATATGGTGCCTGTAGAATTCTTTGTGATCAGATTGATTAATTTCTACTAGTAAACCATCATATCCTCATACACTAGATGGACTATGACAAAATTCAGGAAAGAGTGATGTGCTTTGGACGGGCCAATGGGAATTATGCTGCAGAATGTACAGATAAAGCATGACCAGACAATGTAACATCGACTATAATGATGTGATGAGGCTCCAAAACTGTTTAAATATAAAATATTCAACCTTCTGTAGTTTCAGTTGCATTTCACCATCTTTGTCATTCAACCAATAATTGTTCAACTTTGCAATATATTTTGGAACAGTTTTTATGTAACAGGAATCTTCTATCCCTTTTCATGGGTTAACACTTTCCAGTTAAAGCGATTGTCCATTGCGTTATTACATACACTGTTGTCATGTGTTTTTAAATAAAGACTGTTTTCACTGTACGTACACTTATATTTCTTTGTTTAACATAAATACCTTATATTTTCTGGTGGAATCTTTCTTTATATAATGGATCGACCTATTTCACTCTTAGCTGAAATTAGTTTTACAGGGAAATATTACACTGTTGTAGACTATGTTTTCTTATATTTTAACGCAAAAGTTTTATAACATTTGCTAGAGGTACTTTTGGCATGACACAGCATCATTCCTAGAGATTTTCCGAGTTTATAGAATGGATATAGCTTATAGAATATTCTAGAGACTTGGTTAAGAATATCATAGTATAAAAACTAGTCATTTAATCAGTGGGCTAAGTAGTTAATGCATCTATAACATTTTATGAATTCATTACTGAGTTAGCGAATGTGTTTCTTCATCCAATTTTGCATTAATGCCATTAGATATTAGAGAAAAATTAATAAGTATGTGGCTATTTAGTTTTATTTGTGAGTTAAGCCCATCTCTTGGTTATCTTTAGTTCGTGAAACTGTAAGTTATGAAACATTCAATAGAAGAAATAAAATGCTTTCCTTTTCATTAAGTAGACTGTACTTTGTATTATTTTTATTGAATAGTCAAAAAGAACACATCCCACGATACAAACCATTACAACAGAGGTGTCAGGAGTGGAATTATTTTGATTGAAATTGAATCCAGACTGAAATTCAAATTTAACCAAAGAATGGTCCGATTTAGAATTGGTTTGTTCATGTGAACAACACCTCGTGTACACAAGGGGTAAAACAAACAGATCAGGGACCCCTAAGGCATAGCTGTTCTTCATTTTGAACTTTGGACTTGTGGAGAGGAAACCAGTTAGCAACACCTTCTACCTGAGTTTTACTCGTGTAATGCACCCACAATGTAAAATTGAGAACCAATTTCTGAAGCAGCACATTTCAAACCTGATATGCTAAGAACTACATCACACATACTTAGGTAAAGATGGTTGTTTTGGTTGCAAGACATTCTCATCCTTTTTTTTTCACTTAATCGTGATTCACTGAAATTAAAGTTCAAAATGACCTTTATCATTTTATTCTTATACTAACAATATTGTTGAATGTGTAGTTTCTTGAACCAAGTAAATTTCTCTTTGACTTTTATCAGCAATGGATCTTTCAGAAAAGATAGCCCACTATTCCAACACAAACTTCTAGAGTAATCAATTGCAATGAAATGTCTTTTTGTAAAAGCACATTAGCTAATACTGATTATGTTTTTCATGCCAATTTCTGAATTGTTTTTATGTAAACTCAAAATGCCTCAAATAATTGTAAAATACATTTGTTAACACGTTTTGAGATGTATAAATTTATCACATTTCTAAATGGGATCCTGATTAAAACTAAAAAATTAGAAAACTGTGATGTGCATTAAATTATACCTATATACAATTTTCGTTGTAAAATTCGTCTTTTAGTTTCTTTGAGTCTTGAAAATTAAACTTTTTTTTGTGAAAAAACACTTTATTTTATTCCACTTACTACAAAGACAAATACATAGCATTTCTTCATAATCACTAGCTTGTACAATACTTTCTCATAGCTCTCTTTAGGAACCAACAAACATGTAGGTTTGTTAATTAAATATAATGAATACCAAAAAGCTATTTCAGTCCTTGATGAGACTCAAGCCATTTCATCTTATGACTTATATTTAATCAATCTACAGATTATAATTGTTAAATTACTTTAATAATATATTTTAATATCACAACTTTAAGAAATTATGTGTTTATATCATCATCAGTATTTAGTTCACTGTGAGCTTTCAACTGAAGATGAAAGAGTAACAGCCTTACAACAGTAATTTCTAATAATTGGTGTTAATTTCAAGGAATGTTAAGAAACAAGTATACATATAAAATATATTGATTTTATGTTATCGGTTATGGTAAAATAAAGTTACTCCCACATTTCCCATTTTAAAATTAACAAAGTATTGGAATACTGAAGAATTCAATATCTATACTTTTAATCAAACTTGCATAATTTCAGTTAGAGATAAAAACACTGCTGCTGGAACATGAGCCTTTGTTTACTATTAAGCAATAATAAGACTTAGTTACATACTGTGTTTTCCTTCTTTTGCTGTATTTAATACCCAAATATTCTAAAATAAAAATCACTCGATCCTTATTGCTTATGCAGAACAAGGAAGCTCAAAAATGTAAAATTATGACTATGTATTTAAAGACACCTCATTTAATTTGCTAGTTTTAAATATCATGTATAAAAACAAAAATTCTTATTTACATAAAAATTTTGTAAACCATTTCCAAAAGGTAGTTAAATGGAAAATAATGCATGTGTTATATATACACACACACACACACATACAATTAACTCTAGTATTATTCTTATTTAAGTTGACAGTGTACTTTTATTAGACTTTCAGATACAAAGTGAGTTTTATTTTACAAACCTAAAGAGAAACAAAACACAAGTATCAGATAGTGGAGGCAACTTTCATATTTTGTTTATTGTTCAGAGTGTGTAGTAGCATATTTTTACCCATATATGACATATCTTCAGTTTTAAGTTTATCAAACAATTTGAAGCATAAAGTAAATTAATACCAATTTCTTCATTATCACAATCTTTACATGAAAATAATGATAACCATCAAAAACACAATTATGGTATGACATCAATTTCAGAATTAACATTGTACATTTTTTAAGTTCCAGTTTTACATCAATAATGTTATTTTTTTCATAAGTCATATAATATAAAGAAAAAAACAGTAAATGAAGAGTTTTGATTATCAAAAAAGTTCCAGGACTTCATAACACCAAATAATAATTTTCAAGTTTTGTTCATGTATTTGTTTTATTTGAAGTTAAGCACAAAGCTACACAATGGGCTATCTCTGCCCACCGCAGGTATCAAAACCCAATTTCTACTTTGATCATGTACACAAACACACTATACTGCAGTGCTGTAAATTATGTGTGTATTAAAGAATTATATATTTAATTTGCAAATTGAGATCTACAGTTTTTGTCTAAAATTAAGTATTATGCAATCAAAATTATAATTTCGTGGCTACCTTCACACGCACACATCTCTAATGAAGTACGCTTTCTAAGAAAGCTAACATAAAATACACAAAAGCAAGCTTTTTTAGACTTTACACTGAAGAATGAACAACAGAAAAAAATCTATTTTTTTACACAAACTATTGTATTCATATCACGAAAGAAATGTTTTTTAATTCAGGTATGGAACTATGATTCCATAACGATAAGTTGAGTCTATATATGCAGTTGTGTTTCTACAATATTTTTGGTGGAAAGAAGATTCCACATCCTTTAATGATGATGGTTTCTTCAATACAAATAAAGAAGAGTTATTTTTTCCTAGTGAATGACATAGACAAGTTAAACTATTTAATTGCCAAAAAAACTGATTCTTCATAATTATTATAATTACATTATATATAAAATAAGAACCTGACATTGTGTATTTCCATTCCAGCCACAGATATTTTAGTTTACAAACTAGAAATTGAAAACACATAATTAGCTTGATTATTTTGTGTAACTATGACATGTAAATAAAATAGTTTTTAAAAGGCCTGAATAGTGTGTGATATAAACTGAACTGCAATTAGAGAACATTATTAGCTTTCTAACATCTCTTCCATATCAAGTATAATAATGCAATCATTCTCACATACACTAACTCATTTTCTATCAAGTATCAAGTGTTTAATAGCAGCTTATCGTTGTCAATAGATAAAGCTGTCAAAATAAAACAGAACTTTTAAGTTTCTTGAATACGTGTGTATGTGTGTATATATCACACATTTCAACCTATCAAAAGTCTAAAAATAATTAGTTTTTAAACCTAACAACAGACAAAAGATCCTTTATGTATATACATATACAAAGAATATAATACTAATAAGCAAGTAAGCTGTCATCTATTAAAGCACGAGGCCAGTAACACACTTTTATTGTTTATGCACACTTTGTAAGTTATTTTATTACACTCATCAGGATAATTCACATTAACTTATAAATATAATCTTCCTATAATAACTTTTACATTTTTTGAGATAATACAGTAGAAGTATGATTATGCCTCACATGTCTCTATCATGTTCTTATTTACTATCTATATACAGTAAAGAATTATCAGACAAGTATTAATACAATGTTTTAACCTATCATAACTTTTCTTTACTCCTTTTTGTTCATGAAATATATGATAAGTAATCTGAATATTTAAATTGGGGCTATGATACATTTATCTCAACAACAACAACAAAAAAAAACCTAATGTGAGAAAAACAAAAATGACATTATATACCAAAGAAGTCCAAGCAACATTTCATAAATCAGATTAAATTTTTTTTTCATGATTTATAAATTAGAAAAGGTTTGCTCCCAGTTTTTTCTTAATACACATAAATTGCTAGTTAAGATTTTATATTTTAAGATATTTTTTTCATATGAAATAATACATTATGATTAACCTTTTCTCTGTGTTATCTTATGCCTATAGAGTACTAATGGTGTGGTCATCTTTTTTTTTTCAGAGCCACATGTTTTTTTTTTTAAAGATGGAAAATGTATATACACAATTTTCCAATGTACATTACATCAGGGCCAAATGCTAGAAAGGGAAATTCATGTCCAGAATAATATAATACTTCTCATCATTTGCAACATCCACTGCTGGTTTGCTGTTGATTTTCACTCAAATCTACCCCTCGTCTTCCTTGCCCAGATAAACCACTTGCCAACTGTTCATTTTTAGGTAACTTCTTAGCTGTAAAAAATTTAAAGAGTCCTGTGCAATCTTGGCAAAAGTACTTCAAAAACATATAAAGATTATTTCCAGACATTTTCAGTTAAACTGTATTTTCAAAGAAATCATCAAAAAAAAACCTTTACTACAAAATATTCAATTCCATCACAGAATTAATGAGCTCCCTTAGTGTTACGAATGACACACTATATTTTGATAGTTGATATTTAGGGAGTCATAATTACTCGGATAACTGGTCATGATCCGATTTGCGGCCCTAACTGGTTCAAAATTTTCCAAACTGCTACTAGAAGCCATTCTATTTTATACCTAGATTTATTTATACCACTACACATGTTTAATTGCAGCCATCAAAATTTGGTTACTTGGCTGTACCACATGCAGCAGAATGTGGATATGACAGATTAAAACTTAAGCTGCTTTACAGTACACAAGATAATTAATAAATAAGAGTATTTATGAGAATTTGCTTCCTGTCTGATTATAAACATATGAGCGGAGTTATGAATTTTTTCATGTATTTTGTTCTGAAATAGAACTCAAGTTTGATGATCTATTTGCCTTTTGATGCACGAGCAAATAATCAAAAGGTAGGTTAAAGTTACACCCTTTTTTTTACAGTTACATTCAAGATTTAATTAAACTCCTTCATTATCAATGTATGTTAATAAACTTGGCATAAAAACAATTTATTATTCAAATTTTAATATTATATTAGTTTCATTTGTAAATTAAAAGGGAACTATTATGATTAAGTTCCTAATCTTCACTTTTATTTTTTACATGACACTTTTTTTGCCCCAATCTGTCCATCTGTCCCTGTGTTATTTTGTAAGTTTCCAAGGACTTACACACTTATACATTAGGTAAAATAAAAATTTATAGCATTTGTTCTTGCTTTGATGAGTTTTACATCAGAAACTGAAACCCATGTGCCACAGCTCTTCTTGCACATGCTGTATTTAAAAAATATGAATAATTCTCTCTTAGATTAGATTACATTACAGAAAGATAAGATTTTAATTTACTGATTTCCTTATAAGGTTAGCTCATTTACATAATTGGTAACGAGTTATTCTGCATCAATTTCATGGTTTGCTATTGCCGAGTTTACCTTGACCAAATAAGGAAAAATATTCTAATGCAATTAAAAACATTTTATTTAGGCCTATCTATGGTCTTCAAAAAGTTGACGACTCTACATGTTTCGACGTTACAACGTCATCCTCAGGAGTTGTAACGTCGAAACATGTAGAGTCATCAACTTTTTGAAGGCCTCAGATAGGCCTAAATAAAATGTTTTTAATTGTGTACCAGTTTAACGTTGAATATTATTTATGATTTTAACTTTATACACAAGTGCCAAAATACTATAATTATATTCTAATGTAATTACAGCTTAGTTAGAAAACCAGTTAAATTACACTAGTTTCAGGGCATTGTTTTCATTGCATGTTAATATTTTGTGTTCTACACTATATGTTTAAAATAAATAAAATTTAGTACTAACAACACTTCTACACACACACACAAAAGGATTAACTTTTATCAAGACTTTGAGAGCAAAATTATATGACCCACACATAAGTACAAAATTTCTTGTATTTTTTTATTTAATGTTATAAAAGTAACCAAGATGTAAAACTTAGAAAATTATTAGGTTTGGTAAGAAAAATTAAATAAAAATACTTAAAAGTATGAGCATGTTCCATGTTGTAATTTGACCTAATTTGATCATAACTGGATGTTATGTTTATACAAAGCTTCCCATCTGTGATAATTTGCTTTGGTGCTAATCTTAGTGTCAGTAATCTCTCGTCAGTATAGAACATCATCTATTCACAAGATAATAAAAGTTAATCTTAGTGATTTTCATTATTACCAGCAAAGGCAGAGCAGTCTTCTTTTCAAAATAACAAGTGCATAACTTAAAAAATAAAACAGTTTTACTTGATCTCACCTATAGCCAAGAAAATATCGTTTACATTCATAGCTGTCTTTGCAGAAGTCTCCATAAAAAGGAGACCATTTTCTTCAGCATATGCTTGTGCTTCCTAGAAAATATGAACAGTTAAAGTATATATAAATACACGCATATATATATATATATAGATATATATAATAAATAGTAAACACAAGCATTATTTAAACAGCTAATATATTATTTATATTAAAAGGAAGGACTGTTTTAAAAACACCACCACCAAGTCTATGTTGAAACAGAACATACTTATTAAGGCTTGTTTTGAATTTTATACACACACACACACACACAAAGGCAGTTACTATAACAGTAAGACAAAAATGTTTCAAAATGCTTCACCTTTAAAGAAAGATAATATTAGAGAATGTTTTAAAAATCTTTATTTTATAATAAAAAGTTTAAACATTATAAATTTTATGTAACAATTTTTAGGTATTTAACAATTTGTACTTTGACACTTTTCTGCACAAAATTACATGCATTACACAAGACTTGCAAAGATTTATTTTCAAAAGTTATACTCAGGTAGTCAGATTTTCATTACATTTAGAATCATATCCCTTGTTTTCAGGTTTCAGTCATGGTTTGCACTTACGTAGGTTTCTTGCGTATACAATTTTTGAAGATAGTTATAAGGTTTTGTACTTTTACCCATATCATATGCAAAAACACAAAAAAGTATGAAATCTCAGTTTGTTTACAGTGAAATACTGGGATGAAAATAAAAACTTAACTTATATTATGAAATTTTCACTAAACAAAATGTTAATTTTTCTTTAATATATATAACGAGGGTTTGTTATCTCACATTGCTATAAAGTTAGCTCGTTCAGTTACAACAGTACAAGTTACATAACTTGGCAACTTAGAATGCAAATAATCATCCAAATTCTCTTTCAACCATTTGAAAACAAACATCAAGTTGCATTCTTTGCTTGAGATGAAATCTAATAATTATGTTTCACAGAAAAGAAAACTTGATACTTTTCATTCATATCAAAAAATTGTAACATCTTTTAGTCAATCTGAAACTTTTTATTAATAAAATAAAATCCATATCCTAGAGCTACAGCCTTTTTTTTTAACCAGTGCAAGCTTTAATTAGCATAATTTTGTAAAAATTAGCATACTTCATATTCCACAGCCCGTTTATTGGCCAAGTCTGCTTTATTCCCTGCTAATGCAATCACAATGTTTGGACTGGCTTGACGTTGTAACTCTTTAACCCATGTTTTTGCTCGACTGAACGTGTCCTGAAATTCATAAAGTTCTTTAATAAAGACTAACAGACAATATCATATATTAAAATTAACTAAATATCTGCTTCTAGCCACATCAACCAATAGACTGGATTACAACATTTTTGGTGATAATAGTAAACATATTTCTTAGAAAAACACAAAATCTTTTAATCTACAATTCTTTATATTGTTTACTTAAAAAATCTGGTGGAGATTCTTTATTATAATATTCAAATCAACAAACAGCATCTTCAGCTAATATAATTCTATTAAGGAAACTAATGTGTCAATTTGTGTTATGAGTAAATATTTATCATAATCTTCAACTCAACATAAATTACCTTTTAAAGTTGAAAATTATAAGTGCAAAAATTCCATATTTCTTGAAGAAAAAAATAACATGACTGAACACTACAATGGTGAGGAGATGAATGAGCTTTTTTTATAAACAAAGTGCACAAGGGAAGTACTGCACATGGAGGAGGTGCTGTCCTTCTACTGGTAGAGGACTATGGTCTAATGCTGATTGCATCATAGACTGGCACAATACACAATATTATGTGTAGGGGAGTTTTGTTTGAAGCCTTGGTGAATGTTCAAAAACTTTTTGACAGTGGCACGAAATATTAGCTACCTTTTCTGAGGAAAAGTGAGTAGTGTTTCTGAAATATGGTCATAATTTTACCAGATTGTGTTTAGCTAACTGTGAAAACAAACCACAACAAATATCAATTTCAAAAGTCAACAAAAGCTTATTTGTCATTGTGTAAATACTTAAGTTTTATCCAAGTAGTATCTTTAGTCTTTGAAATTGTCTAGCATTGAATACTCTTCTGTATGTTGAAACCATTTTTAGAGGAACATTATTAAATGAAGATCATTAGTATAGGATGTATAAAATAAGGAACTTTATCATATCATCCTAAGGGTCAAAGGAAGCTCCACTCTTCTAAAAACATGAGAAACACAACAATAACAAGAAAACAGTTTCCTAACAACATGATTCTATATATATATATATATATATATTAGTTTATATGGTCTACAGTTCTTATAGCTAGGAGTAATCTTCCTAGAACTGTTCATGTTTAGTGTCTACAGTTATTAATATTTACTTGTAATCTGAGCAAACTATGTGCTTAGAACAAAACTAAAACTCAACCTGGCAATCAGGATAGATAATTAAATATTGAATGCTTACATTTCCACTTACAAATACTAAAATGCATTGTTTCATCAGTTGAGTACCCTCACTGTTAACAATATTGTTGGTCATAACAGTAATACTTATTATACAATACCAACAGAGGCTGAATGATTTTATGGTTACATCAGCTACAAAAACAATTGATCAACAAATTCTAAACTAAAAAGCTGTAACTTTAGATACCTGTACATTTTGATAGTGTTGCTAATTTTTCTATGTAATGCCCATGTACAAATACTTGGGGTTGGTGGATGGACATATAAAGATGTATAAATATACAGTAACTGTGTGGCCCTAATTTATTTTTTTCCTCCATTCTCTTTATTAAATATTTGTGTTTGGAAATTTAGTAACAAATATTTATTAATAGCATTTTACTTAATGGAATGGTTACAATACTGCCCAAGTTTCTCAGTTATTTGTGTCAGAAATATTAAATCAGGTTCTTCAACACCAATTTCCTCCTTTAGACATTAAATACACTGAACAGAAATATTCTCACCTGATTTACAATGTCATAAACCACAATCGCTGCTTGTGCCCCTCTGTAATACATAGGTGCTAAGCTGTGATATCGTTCTTGGCCAGCTGTATCCCAAATCTCAAATTTGACTGTTGTGTCATCGAGACACACAGTCTGTGTCAAAAATGCAGCTAAAAGGAGTAGAAGCAAAATGTTCAGAATATTATTAAAACTGAGTTTCGAAAGAATCTTAGAAACTAAATTCAGTTACTGAACCAATACCCATTTCAATCAATGTTTCTGTATTTGGTTTTAATAGCAAGTGACCATTAGTCCAATGAAATGACTTAACCAAACTTCCACGAGTTTATAAATCTTTCTTTCTTTACAAATTATTTTTGCCGTGTGTTGTACTCTCTATTTTGAATAGAAGATAATAATAAACTTAGTATTCTGAAAATTGTTTAATCTCAAAGTCTAAGTTCAAGGGAGGTCCAGTTCAGTCTTCACGTTGATCAATGTGTGGTATTTGGTTATACTGCTATTGTGCAGCGATATAATGTGAAGAACAGAACAGTGGCCAATGACACATTTTCTTTACTTCACCTACCCAGTGTTTAGGTTTTTCTCAAAGTGCCTACAAAGCACATTCAGAACAACAGTAGGTTGAATAGAAGATAAAAAGAAAAAAATGCACAACTTCAAAAACAAACAAACAAGACATATTTTTGACAAAAGTTGTTTGGGTAGTTAAATGTGTTTTATTAACACTAGTAATATGTTTATACTTGAACTCAACAAACAGGAGAGTTAAGTTTTATTGTCATCCAGTTAACTAAGGTTTCTTTGAATACTGGGAGTTGTTGGTGTCACCTTTAAGAACAATATACCAAGTAATCACATTTTCATAAAAACAGACAAAAACCACGAAGTTGGTGCATTTACTGATGTATATGCACACATACACATATATTAGTAAATGCATCATTTCAACATAATGTTGATTACTTAAAGTGAATGAATGTTTAGATTTCTTGATAAAATGTCCAAATACTGAATACTAACCAAAAATACAATGTGCATATTTACTAGAGAGATGTTTTTGTTTCAAGTTCTAGAAAAAATCCAATTCTTCTTATTAAAAAGTTACACATTTTTTGTAAAAAAAAATACATAAAGAACCTTTACCTCCAATAGTACTTTCTTGATATTCATGAAACTGTCCCTTAACAAACCGAAGAACCAAACTGGATTTTCCAACAGCTGACTCCCCAAGTAAAACTAACTTGAACTGACAGATCTTACCCTGCGTTGCTCCATTTGGTCGTTGAGCTCCGCTGCGACCTGCCATTGGAAGCTGTAAGGATCCCATCTTATCAAAATTACTAATACATAAAGGCATACAAAATCATACGGCTTATTTCTACTTTTATTTAATGTATCAAATTTCTAACACTTTTTGTAAAATCTTAAAATAAAACTTTCAGTTACAAAAAACATGTATAATCAATACTACTCTATGAACATTTTTTTTAAATGTGAAGAACACTTTTTTTTTCATTAAGCTACATTTGTACAAGCATATAAGCACAAAATTTACCAGAATAAGAATCTCATGAAAATTAAACATTTTTTAAAACTTGAAATAGATATGGAAAACTAAAACTTTCATTACCTTGTCATTAAGCCCATAATCTTAAATCTCTATACTGAGCATATAAATAATAAACAGTATACAACAGATATTATGGATTTTATTATAAAAGTACAGGTGCTTCCAATTTTTACTAATTTGTTACTCCTGAAACTTTTGTTCAAAATTAATCTCTCAATAAAACTTCTTTAAAATGGTATAATTTGTATTGAAAATAAAGTATTAAGTTCTTACTAGCACACTCAAGATCCCCAAATTTATAAAGCTTTCATGAACTTGACAAATATCTGACCTCAAACTAAGAAGATAGGTGACAACTCTTCCTATTAAAGATATAAATTATTTGTCTACCATACATAATGAACAAAAATTATTATATTATAATTAGTGTTACATGTTTGGTTCAATTTTAGAGGAACTGAATGATGTTTACTAAAAAAAATGAAGCATGTGAAATAATTTTATAAACATTCTCACCATTTTATTTTGTATAATTAAAAAAAACTTCATAAGATAAATTATTATTAATTTCTTAATTTTTCAAGACTTGAACAGCATACTGTTATGTTTTTCTTTTATAGCAATGTTAATTTTAAGAAATGAAAATAAGATGATCAGAACAAAATGAATAATAGCAGAGCATGTGTGCATTTTTTTTAGTATTGTAAATCAGAAGACTTACCAGAGCAGAGCTTGAAAGGTGTAATAAAATTCATTCATCATGAATAGTTTCCTCTCAATTATGAAAACCTTCATTACCACTTATTTTTATAGTTAGAAAAGCATAAAACATGGGAATGCTTCTCAAAAACATTTAATTAAAAACAATTTCTTTAATATTATGGTGTTTAATGTATTTTTTTTTTAAATTAAATTGCATGCTTTCCCCAAATGTTCTTTTACTAATACAGTTAAATACCAATCCAAATCAAAAATCATATCCATATTTTTACACAATCAAAAATTGGTAACTAATAAAAATTAGTTTATAAAATGATTACTGTTAATTACAAATCAGGATAAAAGAAATAAAGGATATAAAGCAATGTGAGATTGGGTATTAAGCCCAACAAATCAATATTTAAGAAGTTGGTTCAATAATATTTACTATGTTAACTCCTTTGCATCATATTATTAACCCATTTCATAACATTAAAACTGATTTATAGTAGATCTCAAATATTGGTACACCTCAAGAATTCTAATAAGTGGTGTAACATTCCAGATAAATTTATATATTATTCCTTTTAGACATCCAATACAAAAATTAACAAAATATTCTTTAAATTTTGACAAATATGTACCGACAAACAATTAGTGGAAAAGAAAGTCTTGCAGAAGCCTTAAATAATAATTTAACTTAAATGTTAAGTGAGGTATAAAAGAATCATTATTTTTTGCAATTTTCGTCCCTTATGATATTTTTCATTATTTTCTTAACCACATGAAATATTAAATAGCTCAAAGTACAGTTTGTGTTTTTTTTTTGGCTTTAATATTTTTAGTAACTCACCCAGATTAATACAGATTTAAGTTGTAAACTCTATTATAAACATCTTTAATTAAGTTATTACACTGCACTTTAATTATAATATCTTAGGAGTTATAGTACAGAGTTAAAAAACAAGGAAGCTTCACTGCAGTATGTGTACACTAGATTTAGAAGCATTTTGGAATTACACTAAGTAAAAAAGTATAGAGCATCAAAAATTGTAATTATCCATTGAGGATTCAGAAGGTAAAAATAATTTTGATGGTGACAGTATATGATCGCACCTTCAAAAACACTCCCACATATGAAAACACACACAACTTTTATTATGTATATATATATATATATATATATATATGTGTGTGTACATTATATAAATAAATAAATAGCTTACTAATTGATTAAAATAAAATAAATTGAAAAATAATTTGTTATTACCCTGATTGATAAAACTGGTTGTAATTTTGGTTTTGTGCGTAAAAACTTAAATGCACAAATTTTACTTAATGAAATTAATACCACAAATACTTTTAATAAAAGTACTTTCAAGAAAAATAATGTTATTACTAATTTAAAGAAGGCTGTTAAAAAATGGAATATCCATATAGAATATTCTTCTACGAATTTACCATTTTTATGTGCATTTCCAAAATTGCATAAAAATCCTGTGAAAT